GACACCTGCTCCTTTCTCTCTCTCTCTCTCTCCCTCTCTCTCTCCCCCTACCCAACCCACCCTCTCCCCCTCCTTCAGTCTTACCCACGCCTCGCCTCCACATCTACTCCATTCCCTCCACACCTTCCTGCTGCTGACATCTGCGTGGAGACGCAAGAAGACAGAGACGGGAATGAAGAGAAAAGCTCTTTTCGCGCTGTCGCAGTGTCTTAGCTCCGCATCCATTTTGTTTTTCTTTTTCTTTTTAATATATTTATTTAAAGGATTGAATCGGGACAACTTTAACGTTTTTTGTTTTTTCTCCCCCAGACGCAGCGGCAGAAAGAGACACAATAGCGGGGGGGAAAGCAGCAGCAGAACCCAGACTGACCTGCGGTTATAGAGCTGGACGTGTGGCACTGAATGACGGATGTAAACGTAATGTATCTGAGCTGATCATAAATATCACTGTTTTACATGTTAAACCGTTGATCGTGTGTGTGTGTGTGTGTGTGTTGGTGTTTTCTACGCGTAATTGCCGATTTCGGTGGTTTCCTACTATACCTGTGGTTTTCGTGCCATCACTCGTTTTTTAATCTTAATTTTAATCTCAGTATTTTTCACGTGAACATTCACGACACCGGTGATTCACAGACACTCGTGTTTGTGCGTGTATGTGCTCGGCGTTGGCCTCAGGAGAGCCACGCAGGGCTCCCGTGTCCTCAGCCGCCATCTGTCACTCTCTCCGAGGTCACATGAGGTAGAACAGCGGGTGCAGGAAATGTGGGAAATCTTACACGAGGTGTGTTTTTTTTTTTCTCACCCTCTAGGATTAGGGTGGGGTTTTTCTTCTTCTCTCTCTCTCTCTCTGTGTCATTCAGCCACGTTTTAGTCCTTTTTTCCCCCCCGCCTCAGTCGTGCGCTTTTACGCACAGCGACACGCGGAGTGGATGGAGCATGGAGTCGGTGAAGACTGACGGATGTTTGGGAGCACAGATGTGACCATGCCTCTGGCTGAGGTAGTAGTTTGTGCTGTTGGTCGGGGAGTCACACTGCCCCTTATGGAGATGACTGCGCAATCTACTGCCTTGCCAGCGCTGGTGACTTTCAGCGCAGGAATGGAACCTGAGAACAGTCGAGGGAACGGGAAAGAACGTGGTTTTGTTACATGATCATTATTAACTGTAACGGACGTACCTGCAAATTAACCTTGGAGCTCTCGTGTGAATAAAGTGATACGAACTGCACATGTCCTTTGAAATAAAGAGTGTTATTTAACTAACATGCAAGTGATATATTATTTTTTTTATTATTAATAAAATACATCTAGATTGTGACATTGTACCTGGTGTGTGTGTGTGTGTGGATTTTCTCTATATTTTCTCCCAACAATTACACATTAGCATTTATTATCCTGGCCTGGTCATTTGTGATCAGGTTCTGTAAACCAGGTAAGTGAGCGTTGGCCCCTTGAATTTCATGGCGTTACATAGATCTAGTTGTGTTATTTAAGGCCAACGTAAATAACGGCAGTCAATTTCATTTGGTACAGACATTAGCGGCTGGACAAAACTCAAAAATCAGCTAATAAAAAAAAACATTGGATTAAATCTGACGAACTGGCTGGTTAGATGGTCATTTGTACACGACCTGGCAACCTCACATCAGGAGAATAACTGGCAACCCATGACGCACCTACAGCGTCATGACGTAGGACGCCCCTGTAGAGATTCCAGCCGGTGAGAAAAACGCAGCAGTTGTGTTAAGGAGTTAAAAACATGTTATTTAAGAATAATAAGAAAATATTTATATATTTTATTTTTTTATTCATTATTTAAAATATATTAAGCTACGTAACTATTACGAAATAAGCTCAGACGCAAGGTCGCTTGGAGAAAGTGACGAAGGTGGAGATCACAGGTGTGTGGGCTGGTTACCGTCTTACGTCAAGTAAAATAATAATTATGCCATTTGGTTGATGGAATGTTGGATTAAAATCTTAAATGTTCATTTTAGCTTCCATGTTGCTGTCGTCCTTCAGCAGTTAAAGATGACTGTGAAGAGTCGGCACCGAGTCCTGTTTCTACAGAATGGACCACTACTACCTACAGACAGGTAGGATACTTCAAAACTGAAGTATTTAAATATTAATGAGCAATTAAGAGTTTAAGTAACGAATACAGTGGACACAATAATATTGACTTAACATAAAAATGTATTCGTTTCTGAACACCCGACGTTCAAAAATACAATTTGAAGAGTAACGGTTGGTGAGAGCGGAAGTGCCGATATCTTGCGATATTAAAACGTCGTCGTCGTGAAGGCTGTTTCCGTCACGTCACACGATATTAAAACGTCGTCGTCGTGAAGGTTGTTTCCATCACGTCACGTTACGTCAGGTCACGTCAGGTCATGCTAGTTTTCTCCCGGAAACACTTTGACGGACGTTTTTGAGCGTAGGAAATGACGGAACAATCAATGTAACCACAACAAAATACAAAAACACTCAATTTATTCATCAAATCAAAGTCAATCCACGTCAATTAAATCATTAAATAGTTATTTTTGGTGTGAGACTTAACTAAATAAAAATGTAAAAATATCTAAAACTATTTATTTTCTAAAATAAAAATTGCACAAAAGTCTGCAGTTGATGCTTTGGAAGACTTCTTCTACAGATTTGTCATAATTGTCACACTTTATTTAAATTCATTTATTTTAATTTTGTCGTGCGTCTCTCACTCGGTATGGAGCTTTGTCTCATATCTCCACACCCCTAAGAATCAGTTTACATATTTTTAGACAAAATTAGCTGTTTTATGATAATTTATGAAGCTGAGACAATATTTCAGACAGGTACGAACACCATTAAAAATAACATTTTAGAGTGTTGATTATTGATTTTTGTTTTTATTACTGTACCAAAGCTGATTATACTGTTTTTTGGTAATGCTAGCGTTCGATTTAAAACGTTGCATTCTCGACTAAAAATATAAACTGTATTTTCATCTTTCATTAGTAACTTTTTCTCCTGCATGAGCGAGGGGTTAGAAATGACTTGAAACAGTGACGGTTATTGTTCGTAGTTTGATACCTTGTAGTTCTTTCAATCTGAGTAATTCATTTCTGTTCCAAAAAAATGACACAAACTAATCTTTCTACGTACATTTTCAACATTTATTGTATTTTTGTCTTCATTTTTGGAAAAAAGAAACATTAGAGGTAAACATTGTTTGTATCATCAAAAAGTCGCACAAAGAAACATTAAAATATTGACGATCTTTTTTTCCGATATAAAATGAATATTCCACATTCACAAACAGAATTTGAGGGTATAGCACAACGGTCACTTCAGTGGTTTCCCTACTGGGCTTAAATGTCCTCTTTGCTACAGAAAACAAAGCTGTAATTTTCGTCGTAAACGGAGAGAGCAGAAACTACTTTAACAGTGTAGTAAAAATCGAAACCTACAGTAGAGCAGAAGGAACAAAGCAACATTTCATAACCAAGTTTCATATACAACGTCTCAAACCATTTAAAAATTCTGTGAAAATAATAAACCATCATGTTCTTACGCCACCACTCTGCAACAGCACTGTAACTACACCATAGTTGAACCTGAGTTGATGCGCAGCAGTTGGGTGGCACCAAAGGATGACAAAAAAAAAAGAATATTTTTGACATTCATAGAATAGAAAACAAGGCTCAATGAACATTGAACACAAATCCTATTCATAGAATAGAAAACAAGGCTCAATAAACATTGAACACAAATCCCTGTTCCCTGTTCCCTTCACAACAAAGACTCAACTCTTTCAGGGCCCAGGTTAAGAACAAATACCATTAATACCAGATGAACTGTTGCTACATAAATTCCCTAATGGTAACCCTAGCAAAATGTAGAAAGAATACTAGCACAAAAAAATAAAAAAATCAAGTTTTTTTTTCCATGGAATGTACAAGAGGAAAAGTGCACCATGTGAACACCAGGTACTAGTAAATGGCTGCTGCTTGTCAAAGGAAATGTAGATCACTGTCAGCTGCAAAGATTTTGATATAAATGCGAAAAAATGGCACACATCAAGAGTCTTGAAAATATATCAAGTTATACAAAAAGACTATGCAGCTAAAACACAAGCAGCTGCTCATTGTAGCTAAGCCATAAAGTGTATATAAGAAATGGACGAAGCGCTGTAGCTGGTTTGTTTTTCCAGCTTCCCATAAATACAAAGTGAAAATTACACAACATTGTTGCAACTGGAGAAGAAACGTCCTGCCAGGTTTCTATTGGACGGTTAAGCTGTCGACCACACCCTGTATATATAGCTTCATATTTACTAAATAAACATAGCGTTTTATTACAGTAGAGCTAATATCCGGTATTTGAGACCATAAAGCCTTTAAGAAAAGTTGATTGAATAAATCAGATGACTCATAACTTTCTATTACCACGGGCTGTGACTTTAACATATGTGATGAAGTGGCTCCTTTGCTCATGATTGACAGTAAACAAAGTTTTGGTTGGTATACAACAGGGGTCATCAACCTTTATGAAACCTTTTTGAGAGCTACTTCAGGGGTACTCACGTAATATGAAGAGCTCCTCGTTGAATACAGACATCTTACCATCGTCATTGTGCTCATTTGAATATGATTGCAAGGGTAACTGATTCAAAAAGCACAGTAACAGTACAGTTTTTGACCCTCTTGTTGACTACTATTTTTGGAACATACCACGCGGGCATCTTAGGTAGTCCATGGGGGCTACCAGGTGCCCCCGGGCACCACGTTGGTGACCCCTGGTATAAAACCACAAAGCATTTTGGGGCTGTGACTATCAAACTTTTTTTGCATTAGTTTGACTTGGTTCTATGTTGACTGGTTTTAATTAATTGTCGGATTACTTGACTGTAGAAATCATTGGTTGTTGCAGCCCTGCAAGTGAGTTCCACGTACAGCAGTCTGTGCTGTGGTGCAGCAATCCTCACATTTCTGTCTCAATATGTTAATTTGTCATCTCAGGGCCTGCTTTTCTACGGAGTGAATTGTGTTCACATCAGACGTGAGCAGCAGAGCAGGAGACAGGTACCAGGCTAACAGGCCACCTCCCCACCTGTCTCCAGTCTTTATGAGAAGAGCTAGGTTGAGCTAATTAGCAGCTGGATGCTGTCACTTCTCACCGTCTTATCCTATCAGGCAACATGCTGAAAAAACCTCTAACAGTAGTTTCTTTCATCCAGACTCTGCACAAGCTTCAGTCATTTAGCAGTAGGAAGTACAGTATGTCACCAGATATGAGAGATATGCTCTCCCCTAATGGGCTACGCTCACGGAAAAGAGTCCTCGGGCCTTTTTTTTTTCACAGCACAAATCTTTGCTTGTTTTCGCACGAGCAGCGATTACACTACCGACGGCTGGGTTCTGTTCTCTTCGACAGGAAAGTTTAGGCGGCGATTGTCTTTGTGTCAAAAGGGTTTTTTTTTTTTTTGGCCAAGTAGAACATCAGACGATTGCCGGTTTAAATCCCATCCTGGACAGTGACGTGTTGAGAACTTTCCTGTTCTGCAAACCGTCTGCTCTTGTTTCATGGATGGGTAAAACGAAGGAGACACATTTCACAGCTGGCTAAACGGTTTGCTGAAAAATAGTATTTAAACCCTGAAACCAATCAGCGATATTTCAACGGATTTGTTCCTTCAGCAAAATTCTTCATTTGATGCGCTCAGAAAAAAAGTTATCTCAAGACTTTAGAGAAAGCGTTACCAACTATATTTCTCAGAGGGCCAGAATTTTTCAGTACATTCAAATTAAATTAAATTTTACAAATTGAAACATTTTGGCCATTATTATCTGATATTTATTTTGAAATCGGATTGGACGGCTCTATGGGCCAGATTTGGCCCGCGGGCTGCCAGTTAATGCTCACTACTCCTTATAACTCCAGATCAGTCAAAAACACGACAGCAAAACATTATTTTGGTTTTCCATTGGTCTTAAAGCATTTCAGATTTGTTTTCATTATCGTCCCCAGCAGTGACTCACATCCAGTGACGTCACTAAATGTCAAGCCGTAATTATCGAAGTGGAAAAAAAACCCAACTGCCTAGCGATAAATATATGCATGGTTACAACACATTTACAAACACTACACCGCTTTTTATACTGTACATAACAGCACTGTAGATTCAATCCATTAGAGAAAAAAACAAACAAAAAAAACCCAAAATGCATGTCAACCATTGCACCGTCATTCTTATTCCCAGGCCTATGATAAATCACTGCATGCACTGACACACAGTAAGTAAATAACTACATCCAAACACGGTACGTCGTTGTTTCCAAACGTCTCTCTGCAAAGACAACTCTGTCACGACTACAGTTTAGGAAACATGCAGAACAAGCTCAAACAAAAGGGAGATTTCAGCTGATTATTTTAAAGGTTCACGCAGTTTGATTGATTGATTGATTGATTGATCGAATGATGATTATTGTTTTACTTAATCTTTCCCTGCTGCAGGGAATTTCCTCAATACCCCGACCTCTCTGGGGGAAACGTGGGTCGGCCTTAAATAAAGTGCAGCTCCACTGCAGTACAAGTCATTTAGCCTAACAGTAAAAATTCCCTTTTCTGAGTTTTTCTTTTATTATAAATGTAGCTTGAATTGACTATTTCATGGTTAAATAATAAAAAAAAAACTCTTCACATTAGCTCCTCTAATTGTCGTCACAAGCTGTGATTGGACCTCGGAACATACTAAGCTTTGCAAAGCTAGGCAAAAAGCCTTTTAGCTTAGCAAACGATAAAAAGCAGAACAACGTGTTAGCCTGGCTACTTTTGAAACCACGAGGATTGTCATCTCAGGAACGTACTCAACATTATAAGTAGCTTTTTATTGTTCTTTAATCGAGCAGCGATAAGCGTCCTTTGGTCAGAGCTGCTGTACCAGTTAGCTACGTTTTGGAGAGTTTAGCACCTACATATGGTCGGCTAGCTACCTACAATTGGACAGCTAAAAGGCCAACTAGCTAGGTCGCTACCAAACATTGGGAAACCACCTAGCTAAATTAGGGCAGAACCTTACCTTATAGTGTCTATCGAAGGAACCCAATACTTAGCAACACATTTCCTTCCTCCGAGCAGTGAACTACCCTAGCCCTCAGAGCTTTTGGCAGCTGACGACCTTTGGCACGATAACGTCCAACTTTGGGTTGCCAGCTGTTGCTGCTTTGTCCTGCTGAGCTGCAGTGAGCTAAAAGTATCCTTTAGCCTGCCTCCAAAAATTACTGTTAGAAACACTAAAAAAGTCTAATCTATGTGTATGGGTTTAATATCAGATTAAAGGACTTGTACCTGTGGGTTTTTTTCTTCTCGTGATAAACATATGGCGCCTCTCTCTCTCTCTCTCTCTCTCTCTCTCTTCGATCATTACACATCAACTAGGCTTCCTCTGTGAACCTTCAAACCTTCAGATTCTGCTCTATTTCTTCTATTTCACCAGTAAAACACATTCTACATCTGTCTTGCTACTACAGATCGTCGACAGCTTCATCTTTTTTTTCCTTCTGCACACAATCTGTTCAACAAAGTGGATTTAAAAAAAAAAAAAAAAGTTCAAGCAAAGAGAAAAATCCTTTACAGCCACACTGTGGCAAAACTCAAAACGCCCCTGACCAGTGAACGCCGTCTAGGGTCAGAAGATGAAGGAGGTAATATTCTAGAATATACTAGCTTAACTGTACATCGGGACGGGAGAACGAGAGAACCTTGAAGAAACGGTAGAAAGAAGACACGTTGAGTATAGGAGCAGTCACCTCATCCATCCTGTATAAGTGCTTCAACAATTTCATTTAAGGAAGAAAAAGCGTCAGAGTAAGTTAGACCAGTTGGTGGTTCAGATCACACCTGAACCCCCGTGGAGAAACCCAGAAAGAACATCTACATGTACCAGGAAATATAAGTACCAACAGCACAGTGGAAAGTACTAGACTGAAAGAGGAATCTGAGTTCAGGACTAACCAGTCCTGTTGGTTTAAGTGCCTTCAGGTTCTCCAGAGTCTTTGAACGGCAGCGTCTCAGTCAGTCAGCTCCTCAGGGCTGGCGGTTTCCGTACATCAGTGGGATGATGAAAACAGAAATATCATCTCCTGAGCCCAGACGCTCGTTGGTGATCCTCCAGCCTCTGTCCCTCAGCACGCCGCGGGCTCGCATCACCAGGTCCTGTGCTGCCATTGTATATCTGGACAATATAACGCAGCATGTGAGGCATGATGGGAGGTGTGGTGCTATCTGTGGCTTAATCTTAGCTATTAGCTACTTAAATTTAGCTTTGTTGTGCAAACTATATTTGGTAATTTTTTTGTAAGGGCTAAACTTTTTTTCTGTCAATACATAAATATTTTCAGCTACATTATTAGCTACAAGCAACTGTTTTTTTTAGCTTTTTTTGTGGAACCATTTTTGAAACTTTTTTTTTTATTTTTGGCTATATTTTGGGCTAAATTATTAGCTCTTTTGAACCTGTTATTAATTAATTTGCTATTTTGGACAACGTTTTGTTTGGATTTGAATTGTTGAACTTCTTGTTTACATAACCACCCCAGATATATTTTTTAGGTCTTTCCAAATTGTACATATATTTGAATATATAAATATAATTGCTATAATTACTTTAGCCTACTGTTAGCATTTCCTTGGTACAAATATATGAGACATCTTTCTTATAAGAGCATAAGTGGAAAAATAACCTTGAAGCATAATTTTGTGTTTAAAAATAATGGATTCCTAACCTACCTACTAGGAGCATTTTCGGTTTAAAAAAACTAGCAAAAATGGTTTGTGGACGTCTGTTGAGTTATTAAACAACAGCGTCTGCCGTGCACTTGTACATAAACGTTAGATGTTTTTCACCTGTGCAGATCATCAGGGTCACAGTTGGCTAGAAAACTGGTAACTGCTTCAGCTACTTCCTGATTGGACAGGACATCCCACAGGCCGTCAGTTGCCATCACTAGAACATCGTCCGCCCCGTGCTCGTACTGCATCAGGTTGTACACTTTTACCTACACAACATAGAATAAAAAAGATCAGACTTTTATGTGTCAGTGTTGACCACGTCTGAGGAAATGTTAGGGAAATGAGCACCTGGTTATGAACCTGGTCCACAGTCATTTAGTCACGTCTGGTTTAGGCCTGAATGACACCAGGCAACAGCTAAGAAAAAATCTGCAGCTGTTGCACTTTTAAAACGTCCAAATAAGTGTAAAAACATATAAATACAAGATATAAAAGAGAAAAAAAAATACATATTTAAAAATGTTAAAAATAATTAACTAAGGCAGAGAAATTACAGCCAACCCATCTCCTACTTTACCTTCCTAAATATAAATATTCCATATGGCAGGTGTCACCAAGTCTATTTGTCGGAGGGCCAGATTTTTTCTGGACAGGCACCTTGGGGGCCGGACATAAAATAAAAATCGCATTTTTGTCCAACATTATTATTCAGCCCGCTGGATTCGGCCCGCGGGCTGCCAGTTGATGGTCACTGCCATATGGTATTGTTTCCTCATCTTTCAATTAACGCCAGCATTTTATCACTCGTTACCTGTGATGCAGGTTTTAGAGTTTTATTATTTTTTAATTTCCGTTTTAAAACTGGCTCTACCTGGTGAGTGTTGAATTTCGTGCATTAAATTGCAATTCATTACAAATGTATAATGAACTGTGTCATTAGGTTAAAACCAAACATTCCTTTTCACACTGTCCTGTCCAACAGCAGATGCCCTTTAGTTTTCTCCAACATCAATTTTTTTCATTTTTTGTTTTTAAGCTGCACTTCACACTGACCTACATTCACGTAAATTTATGCATCGTTCGTTTCCCGGTAAGTGTGTGCAAATTCCTGTGTTCTCTGTGAAGACACGTGAGGCGCGGCGAGCCGTCGTGTTCTCCACGTGAACCTGCTATGAACCCTGGCTGACAATGAATTAAAGATTAGGCCGAGAATTCTGTAGGAATAGTGCAAACATCCACAAGACAAACTAGAGCAGGAGATGAAAGCGCTCTGCAACCAGTGCCAGTCAGTCAGACAGACAGTCAGTCAGTCAGTCAGTCAGTCAGACAGACAGTCAGTCAGTCAGTCAGTCAGTCAGACAGACAGTCAGTCAGTCAG